CACAGCACCAGTTACATGCTTTCAGTTCTGATTTTCTGTTCTCCCTTCCTTTCTGGCCTGTGGGAATGACCTATAGTTCCTCTGTGCTCAGCTATGTATTTAAATGTCACAGCAGTTTTAAATATTTTAATGTATTTGTAGCAGGAAGGATTCTATATAACTTGTTTGCCATGAGCCCATGAGCCACAACCCTCTATGGGTGGCTGACTAATTCCCCTCTCCCCGGCCTGCTGCACATCCCAATTCCCAATCCTTGGGACCTATGAATTTGTTATTTCACGTAGCCAAAGGGACTTGGTGTGATTAAATTAAGCATCTTGAGATAGAGCGATTATTCTGGATGAGCTGGGGGAGGCCTGTGTAATCATAAAGGTCTTTACAAGGGGGGTACAGGAGGATTTATGCAGAGAAGGAGGTGTGCTTAGATAAGCCCATTGTAGTCAGAGAGATTTGAAGATGCTACACTCCTGGCTTTGGAGATGGAATAGGGGGGCTGCAGGCCAAGGCCTACAAGTGGCTTCTAGAAGCTACAAAAAACAAACCAACCAACCAACAAACAAACAAATGGGTTCTTCCCTGGAGCTTCCAGAAGGAATGCAGCCTTATCATGATTTCAGCTCAGTGAGATCTTGTCCTGTGTTGGACTCTGACCTCCAGAATTGCAAGAGAATTTGTGTTGTTTTAAGCCACTAAGCTTGTGGTGACTTGTTAAAGCAACAACAGGAAACTGATAACCTCTTCACTGGTTTTGAAGGCGGGTGCCTGGTATTAGCGGTGAGTATAGACTGAAAATTGTATTGGAGACACAGCAGAGTGAACTGGATGAGGAATACTCTTGATTGAGAGATGTAGAAGAGGGTAGCCTCTTTCTTCCCTTACCTAGAAAAAAGATCATAACAGAAATACTTGTGAATGTTCTAGCTAATGTTTTCAGTAACAGCCCAGCCTCAGACCTGAAACTTCTAAAAGGGATAAAGTGCCCCCCACCCCAATCCCCACCCTTGAGTAATAGACCTTATTTTTCAAAGGGGAAAAGATTCCCGTCATGAGTGAGCCTGTAAGTTGGTAGCTGAGAGAGCAGAGAGCAGTTTTCTCATGTTGCTGAAATGCTGCTCGTGAAATGAAGGGTTCGTTCTACCAGGAGGGCGCTGACAGGATCCCTAGTACACGTCGCAGTTACATGTAGGGACAGGGATGCCACTGATGGTAAAATATTTATACCAGTCAGCTTTCCATGACAGTTAGAGGTTCCCGACTTGTCTGACTCCAGATGCCTGTATTGTTCTTTGTTAGTTTCTTAGGGCTGCTGTGGCACATTACTACGAATGTGGTAGCTTAGAGACAACAGAAATTTACTCTCACAGTTTGAGAGACCAGAAGTTTGAAATCACGGTGGTAACAAGGTTGCAACCCCCGTGGAAGGCCCTGGGAGCAGATCTGTTCAGGCCTCTCCTGTCTCCTGTCTTCTGGTGGCTGCCGGTGTTCCTTGGCTTGTGGCCACGCCTGCCTTTGCCTATCTGCGCTGCTGGCTCTTCTCTGCATATCTAACCTCCCTCTGCCTCTCTTGCATAGGGCACTTGCGATGACATGTGATGCCCACCTGATACTCCAGGATAAACTCCTTCTTTCAAGATCCTTAATTTAGCCACAGCTTTTTACCATATAAGATACTATTCATTTTTTTTGCTGTGCAAGGTAACATTCACAGTGTGACCATTTTTTTAGCCTCCTACCTGCCCCTTTACTGCATTTTTGCAGCTTTGGGCCTATTTTAATTATCGATATTTTGGATGATTGTTCTGTACTCTGACCCACCCTCAGAAAATCTCTGACATAGCCATTATTTGTAGGGACTCGTAAGTTCTCATTCTTACCTACACTGACTTCTAGAACAGGAGTCAGCAAACTACAGCTCATGGGCCACATCCATTCCACTGCATATTATTGAAAAGCCTGCCAACTGAGAATGGCTTTACGTTTTTAAATGGTTGGGGGAAAAAAATCAAAGGAAGAATATTTTTGTTACACATGAAAATTATATGAATTTAAATTTCATGTCTAAGTGAAGTGTTATTGGGACTCTGCCCCAATTGCTCATGTGCATATTTTCTGTCACTGCTTTCCTGTTACCATTGAAGAGCTGAGGCAGAGGCCATGGGATCCGCGAAACCAGATAGGGAATATCTGGCCCTTTACAAAGAAAGTTGCCAACCTTTCTTCTAGTCAGGATACCTTGTCTTTGGCTTTAGTGCATAGTGGACACCAACCATTTATTGATAGATATTTAACTCATGGTAAGATTTCATTAATGTGGTAAGATTTTGGTTACGAGTTCCAAAAGGATTCTTTAAAACTAGTGTTAGAAGAATTTTATGCATCATATTATCACACTTCAGAACTTTGTGGCTCTGAGACTCAAATAAAGCAATAGAGTCTTGTGCCTGAATTTAATTGAATTAAGAAATAGAGATCATATCCAGGACTTGAAGTTGGCATGTTTTTTTGTCAATTTGGCTAGGATATGAGGTTCAGGTGTTTGTTCAAACACTAGTCTAAATGTTGCTATGAAGGTATTTTTTTAGATGTGATTAGCATTTACACTCGATTGACTTTAAGTAAAGCAATTACCCTCCATATTGTGGTCCTCGTCCACAGTATAAAAAGTGGAAACATTAGGAACAAAGACTGAGGTTTCCTAAGGAGGAAGAAATTCTGTCTAAAGACTATCAGACGTCCTGCCTGAATTTCCAACCTGCTACCCAGCCGTACAAATTCCAGACTTGCTAGGCCCCACAACTTCATGAGCCAAGTCCTTAGACCAAATCTCTCTCTGTCTAAATATATATCCTATTGGTTCTGTTTCCCTGGAGTCCCTGACTGATAGAGCAGGTCACTCTGATGAGTTGGAAGTGTGGACCGTCTTCAGTGTTGGTACCATGATGCAGTAAGGATGCTAGGCATAACCTCTCTCCTCACTGCGGCGAGGCCTATCCCTGCAGTATCTTATCCTTCTCACTTCACACCTCGTTCAGGCTTCTGCCTTTTACACCTCGTAAAAGAAACGTGTTATGTTTGGATACCACAGGGTCAGAAAGAAGCTTACTTGTCATGGGACAGAGAGGACTTCCCAATCCAAGGTTGTTCGAAGTTGAGAGAAGATTGTGAGATGATAAGAAAGAGGCAGAAGCAAGTGGTCTTGCTGATAAAAAGCCTGTGAGAAAACGAGAGGGACGAGGCAAACTTCTGGGTGGCAAAATCTGTGAGAATTTTTTCCGTCCCCCTGTCCCTCTAAAAATAAAAGCTTTCTGTGTATTCAAACTGTACAGGAGAACACCAAGTCCATATAGCTCTATAACTTTGTTCTGTCATGCTACAGTTAGTTCTTGTCATTCTCAAGTTTTGCTTCTTTATAATAAATGAATAAAAATACAAGTAGGTACAGTATTTGTCAATATTTAGTAGTGGGACTTGGATCTCTCCATGAATATGAAGTTTTATATGCCAAGACATTTGAAATTTGTATGTAATAACCTGTGATTACATGTATAAAAAATTACACATTTGAGTATAAAAGATTCACCGGGATGAATGGTAATTTATTTTTTATTTTGAAACAAAGCTGTTATTCAGCCTTGAAATGGTGCTAAAAATATATTTTAAACATTTTGATTTCTCCCACCTGGGTGTTATATTGTCAGCTTGCTCCAGGAAATGGTTGACTCCATTGAATTGAAGATACTATCTCCTTATTCTTCCTTCCCCATCCCTTCCACATACCTGTTTGAGCTATATTTTCTGTCAACTAATTATAATCTTTATATGCAATGCTATTTTGTAAGTGCTGTTTTAAAGAAATAATTGTAACTTGGAGTTTTATAGGAGTTTTATAGGTAATGGCCAATGCTATATCTTCAACTTGCTTTAGTTTTATAAATATATAAATAAAATTATTGGAATATAAATAAAATGATTTCTTACTCAGAATGCCATTTTTACTCTGAAAATCAAAAGTCTCTTACACTCTTATCATCCTCACGGGTCTGATGGTCTTTCTCTGCACAGTGGGCCCTTGAACAGTGCAGGGGTTGGGGCGTCGCTCGCCACACCGATGAAAATACACAGGTAACTTTTAAGTCCCCAGAACTTAACTAGTGACAGCCTACTGTTGACCAGAAGCTTCATTTGGTAACATAAACAGTTGATTCACATATATTTGGTATGTTATGTGTATTTATATACTGTATTCTTAAAATAAATTTAGAGAAAAGAAAATGTTATTAAGAATATTGTAAGGAAAAGAAAATACATTTACAACATCGTAGGTGTTTATTGAGAAAATTCTGCTTATACGTGGACCCACACAGTTCAAACCTGTGTTGCTCAAGGATCAAGTATATGGGAATTCTGATACAATGCATAATGACACCTAACGCAGTTTATTTCAGCAGCAACTCCATGAGAAATTTTTTACTGTTCCCAGTGACCAGGTTCTGTGATAGGTTCTGGGGAGATAAATGAAAAGATGGCAGCGAGGGAGTCCTTACTCTCAAGTTGCCCAGAGAAAGGCGAGATTATTTCAGTATGTTGGGGAGTAGGAAGGCATCGCAGAGAATGTTACAGTCCAACTGGACTTTGAAGGAAGTGATTTTCATGTGAAGAAGTCATTATGTGGGACTGAGATGTATTGGAGTCTAGACGTTTTACATATGCTGTTATTTCAAAAACTTAAGTAGAACTCAGACTTAGTATAAACCAGAGGACCTCGGAGACTCCATAATAATTTTAGAGGTTATTGTTATTTTTTTTTAAAAGCATGCCTGAGGATTGATATAATTTGTTAAAACAATGCTGTCTGCTGAGAATCTTTTGTGTAGTCTAGTGTTGAGTATTAGCGATCTATTGTATGATACTAAGCGGCTGCCTGAAAAATGTTCTTGACATGATTTTTATCCAAGTGACGCTTTTCCCTCTCCTCCCTCCCTTTTTGTTTGTTTTTGCAGCTGGTTAGTCTGTTGCTGATTGGAATTGCCGCCTGGGGCATTGGCTTTGGACTGATTTCCAGTCTCCGGGTGGTGGGCGTGGTCATCGCCGTGGGCATCTTCTTGTTCTTGATCGCCTTGGTGGGGCTGATTGGAGCCGTGAAGCACCACCAGGTGTTGCTTTTCTTTGTATCCTTTTCAGAAAGGGGATTTTTACCCCAATTGAGGTATTTCTTTTTATTGATTACTCTACAACTGCAGCTAATTTAATAACTACAACTAATTTAAAATCATCATTAGGAAATTGTCAGAAACTCCTAGCAAGCCCTGCGTGCATGTATTCAACCAGCGTTAGGAACATTCTTAAGGAGAAGTTATTGTGTGTTTACTACATATTCCTACTCTCTGCTTTATACATCATGAAGAATGTATTTTGCAAGTTCGGATTAGTTCTGTTTACATATTGCAAGTTCAGTTACATTGAACTGACTCAGTAGCTTCTTGGCCCTTTCCAATGTGTTCAATTTTGGTTGAGTTTTATAGTGATATGTACATTTATCTCTTCTTATTTCCTATTTTATATATGTAAGAATTTTAAGCTAAATGAAATTCTAATATGTCAGCTTTTAGTTAATTATCGTTGTCAATATTTTTCTATATGAACTTACAGCTACAGAGTATTATCAAAATAACAATTATGTGTATTCTTTTTGAACTTCCTCTAAGTGCCATTGGTTGTGTTTTCCTGGTGAATTCCTTATAGTGCACTACAGCGTTGTCACTGACCCTGTTTTATTCTATTTTAAGAGTGTCGAGAAATAACCTTAACTGTAATTCTCAGTACATGATCATTCTCTTACTTGTATTTATTGTTCAGTTTTCTGTATCATGTGCTTGTTTAGCCCTGAACGAGGAACAACGGGTAAGCAAAGACTTTTTCTTCAAAGATTTTATTCATTTATTTTTAGGGGAAGGGAGGGAGAAAGGAGGGAGGGAGAAAGGAAGGGAGGGAAACATCAATGTGTGGTTGCCTCTCACGCGCCCCCTACTGGGGACCTGGCCCGAAATCCAGGCATGAGCCCGGATTGGGAATCAAACTGGTGACCCTTTGGTTTGCAGACTGGCACTCAATCTACTGAGCCACACAAGACAAGGCAGACTTTTTCATTCTACTTCATAATGCCACATTGTATCCCTAGGAAAAAAAGGAGAAGAAATAATTGGAATATAAAATAATCCTGTCCTGGGCAGAATGTCATTTATGCTAGGTAGCTAAACTTGTTTGTTCCTGATTGCATTAATGGGGCTGAGTGGAGCCCTAAACCTGTTGCTGTATTTTTGCATCTTTTATGTAGGCTTTTGCCTGCACTGGGTAAAAAGTGATAATGCTAACAGATGTTCAGCAGCCTTTCCTCACCATTATGCAATGAAACATTTACTCCAGGATGTTTTTAGTTCCATTCTAGCAGTTAATCTTTTTCAAACTAATTTGTGGAAGCATATGGGTCACAGTCTTGGGGCAATGGAAAATTTTTCTTGTTACTCTCGGACGATTATGCCTTTCAGCAAAGTAGTGCTTTTAAATTGCATGTAAAATGTAAGACTTTTTAGTCTTGGGATGTAAACAGTGACTTAATTTTTGTTGCAGATTGATGGATAACCCTTTGAAAAGTTTTAATGCTATTAAAAAGAGTATTTTCTTTAGATATATGTGGTATTAAAAAATGCAGGTTGTGAGTTTATACATTTTGTCCAGGGATGACACATTTTAATGTTGATGTTACATGTATTTCTTAGGGTCAGCTTCTGGAAGTTGGTTGGAACAATACAGCAAGTGCTCATAATGACATCCAGAGAAATTTAAACTGCTGTGGGTTCCGAAGTTTTAACCCAAATGATACCTGTCTGGCTGTAAGTACAAAGTATAAAATATTTATTTTTTGGAGATGTATTATATACAGATGAATAATGATGAACATATAAGAAATGGACTTCCTCATGCTGAATTGTATTTGTCAAGTGTTTTACATATTCCATGTACGCTACTGTATCGTTTTTACTCAGATATCTACTTCTGAGAGGGCTGAATATTCCAGGGTCCAGCCGAACAAAGATGCTTTCGGTTCTTTGCCCCTTAACTCTTTCCCATTCAGCTCCTCCTAGAACAAGTTGTGAAAGAGAAGTAACAGCAGATCTGCTTTAGAGATAGATCAGAGGAGGCATCTACCTACATACCTTGTTTTGAGACATCAGGGCGGTAGGTGCTCTGTACTCAGTTGGGCTTCTTAACTAGTGAACACTCCCAGGGGAGAGGACACATGAAACTAGTGTTTTTCCTGTCTCCCTTCTTCCCCATCACAACTTCTTGCTCTTTCTTTTTGGGAGCTGAGCTGGTAATGGACCAATGAGAGCCATCCTTTTGTCCTGGGCTAGACCTGTGACCCTCCAGTTCCAGCCTGATTGTGCATGAGGATGGACTTGGAGTTTGGCTCTCCTAGGAAGTTCTGACGTGTTTATATTTTGGGGAAGCTCCTATTACCACCTCTCTGAGCCCTGAGCTGGATATGTCCTCAATCAGGTTTCTTCGTGGGATTATTTTTCTGTTGCTGTATAATATGTTATCACAAATGTAGTGGCTTACAATGACATCCATTTCTTGGATCTAAGTTTCAATGAGTCAGAAGTCTGGGTATGGCTTAACTGGGTCCTCTGCTCAGTATCTTACCAGGATGAAACTAAGGAGGTGGCTAGAGCTGCACACTCATCCGAGGCTTGCGGCACTCTGCCAGGCTCAGTAGTGATTGGTAGAATTCAGTTCCTCGTGATCGTAGCACTGAGGTCTTGTTTTCTGGCTGGGTGTGTCTCGGCTCCTAGAGGCTACTCTCAGGTCTGATCTCTGCAGCCGTCTCACACCGTGGCGGCAGCTAAGCCAGCATGTTAATGTCCCCGTTCTGTAAAGACAGTTTCTAATGCAGTCCAACATAAACATACACGTGACTGCCCACAGTATTCAAAACTCCCAGCCACACTCAAGAGGCTGATCGTTCAGGACGTGGGTGCTGGGAGTGGGAATCTTGAGAGCCGTCTTAGAATTCTGGACACTCTGAATAACCAAGGCCCCAGACTGGATATAATACTCCAGACCTTAATTTTTATGTGGGTGCAATTTCTATCTGCTCTTTATAAAAGTACTTTGAAATAAAAGCTTTTTTTCTTTCATTGATTCAGAGGTGTATGGAAAGTGACCACCACTGCGCACTGTGTGCTCCGATAATAGGAAACTATGCAGAACAGGTTTTGAGATTTGTCGGGGGCATCGGCCTCTTCTTCAGCTTTACAGAGGTATGGTATAAACAACTCAGTGTCTCTCTTCCATTTTCATAGGGATGCTGTTGTATATGGCATTTTACCTTAGCATGTCACTTAACTTTTAGAATGTATAGGTGGATGTTTTCATTGAGAACTACTATTGTAATAGGAGGCGCCCTGGCTTGGAACCAGAATACCTCATAGACCTAGCATGAACTTTACGCAGGGTGAAATGCTTGATCATTAAATTACGTAAAATTTAATGAACCAATGAAATGAAGAGATTAGATTGAGTTATCTTTAAGATCTTTTGTGTTTTTAGAGTTTCTTAATAAATGATCATTTTATTTTTTTCTTTTAAAAATGTTTTATTTAATTTCTTAGTGTATAATATTATATTAGTTATACTCGTTTTGGTTGTACAATGTAGTGATTTGACATATTTATTTCTTACAGTGTTTTCACCCCAGTAATTCTAGTAATCATCTGTCACCATGCAAACTTATCACAATATTATTGACCATATTCCCCTTCACTTTTTTCCCTCATTCCCCTACCTCTCCCTCCTGGTAACCATCCTTTTGGTCTGTCTTCTATTCCTTTTTTTTTTTTTAACTTCACCTGAGGACGTGCCTATTGAGTTTTTTGGAAAGGGGGAAAGAAGAGAGAGTGGGAAGGAAACATCGACTAGTTGCTTCTTGTACACACCCCAGCCAGGGACTGAACCCACAACCTAGCTACGTGCCCTGACTGGGAATCGAACCTGCAACTTTATGGTTTATGGGATGACATAAATTATAATTTTAAATTGGATTTTGGAATAGGTAGGCCATTCACATTGTTTAATATATGTGCTAATATATAATACATGTACATATACAGGGTGTGGCAAAAGTAGGTTTACAGTTGTGAGTATATGAAACACAGTTTATTCTTGTATTATTTATTATTGTATTATTTTCCATATGAACAGCTGTCAACCTACTTTTGCCACACCCTGTATATAAAGGTCCACTTTGAAAAGTTGCCTTGCAAACCATGCGTCATTCCCCTTAGTTCCTAGCTGACAATGTGCAGGTAACCATAGAGAATTTCTTTTCTATATGACATTTATACTGTCCTATATTTATTATATTTATATATATTATATAATTCTGTAAGCCAAACCATATATATTATTTGATAATTTTTGAGGAATGCTAATTCCTTATATTAAACTCTCAATAGCCATGGACTTTTTTGATGGATTGGAGTTGGCAGTATGTATCAAAATTAACATTTTTTCCTTCAACTATCAATTCTACTGAGAGCGCTTTATTTCATAGAGCTAATCAGATAACTATGTAAAATGTACATACACAAGAATGTTTGTTATTTATAACAACAAACCTTTGGGCCAGCTTGTGTTCTTCAATAACGAGCTGATTAAATTCGGGTGTATTAGGCAGGAACAAATAGTTAAAAGTTGGATACCTAGTTCCACTACTTATTAATTGCTTGGCCTTGGGCAAGTTACTTTACCTTTCTCTGCTTCCATTTCCTTATTTTTAAAAAACAGGCATAATAATGGAAAGCCCCTTCGAGTTGTGATAACTAGAGTCAGTGTATGTAAAACATGTTAACCCTGGTACATGGCAGGTGCTGTGTGTTAGCTGTCATTTTATAGCTACTGTTCGTAAATTATTGATGTATGAGCCACCATATTATGATGCATTAAAAGGAGATGGTGGGGCCCCAATGATTGTCATGGTAGCTGCCCATGTGACACCCCTCTTTTAAACAGATCATAGAATAGCATGTGCAGAATAATGCTATTAAGATTGTGTATATAACAATAGCAATATGTGGTAGGCTATTGTAAGAAGGATCATATATCTTTAAAAGAAAATCAGAAAAATCCTAAGTGTTTTTTATGGTTGAAGTTCAATGTGTTCATTTACTCTCTTGGACATTAAATTGCCCCCTTCATATGTCACTATAATAAATAATGGTCATACATGGTCATCTTCCTTATAATGTAACTTTTTCTGATGTATTCTCATGTTCCCCCCTTAGGCTACATCTCTAAAAATAAAATGACATACTCAGTATATGGACATTTTAAAAGAGTTTGATAAATATTGTTTACTTGCCTTTTGGGGAGATTTTATCAAATTTTGATTCAACCATTAATTCTAGATATTTCCTTTCTTTTTTCTTTTCTTTTTTTTTTGTAGGCTGTGAGGTAAATGAATAGATTAACACTTTCTGGCCAGCCATCTCCCCTAGCCTGTGTTTCAATGTCCCAAAGTTTAGTTAACAGAACAGGGGCGCTGTAGATATTTTCATTTTAAAAAATGTATTTCAGTTTGATAGGTAAAAATAGTATTACCATTCTGTCTGTTCTTTTGAAAATGTTCTAGTGAATTTGACAATATATTTATGCATTTTGACCGTTTGCATTTCTTTTGTGAGTTGACCACTTTTGTCTTGGCGGAGGCCCTTTGAATTGCATGTAACAAACTCAAAGTCAGGAACACACAAAAGGGGAATTCAGTGTGAGAACACCTGGGTGGGCCTCAGGCCTGCAGCTGCAAAGCGAGCACACAGCTGGGGTTCCTAAGTGGGTCTCAGAAACCTGGGCGCATAGGAACGCTGCCCACTCCTCCTTTTATTCCCTCCATACCTTCTTTCTCCCTGTTCCTTTCATTCCTCACTTTACTTGGCTTTTTTTATTCTGCTTTCAATGTCTTTGGCATTTATTTAACTTTTTTAATGACCTTTAAATAAAATTGATAGAGGATTTTAGTTTTCATGAAGTTAAATTTCTTTATTTCCTCTGTGGTTTATCCAGTTGATTTGTATGTCCAGGAAGGCCTTTCTTATTTTGATTACATATGTTCAGAAATGATTAATGAAGAAAATATAGGTATTTAGAAACTGTAATACCTCATGAAAAGGACAGTCTCCTTTAGGGGACCTCAAAATGGGGCAGAAGATAATAAGTTTTATAGGATAAGAAATAAAGAACTAGGAAGATAAAGAAAATCAGTGATTGACTGGGGCCACATCGTCAGCCTTGTTTGGGGTGAGAAGGGAGGGAGTTGTTTGGGGACTGGCTGACTGAATGTGCCACGTTAAAAGTGGAACATTTACCGGGAGAGGACGTTACTTAACCCGAAGCTCCCTGCACGGCAGCATTTCTGAGGTAGGGTCAGCGAAAGGATGCTCGGGTGTGTTGGGGTGTCAGAGAAGTAGCTGTTTGACAGTGGGAGGTGTAAGTATGTCAGTATATTAATGACCAGCATAGCTGAAATATAGGTGAAGGGTTAGCCGGAGAATGGCCAGTAAGTAACACATTGGATTCTCACGTAAAATCACAAAAGCAATTAAGAGCGTGGACTTCAGATTTGAACCCCAGTTCTGCCTCTTAGGGCCTGAGTGACTGTTACCCAGTTATTTAACCTCTTCACACCTTGGTTCCCTCACTGCTAAGATGAGGATAATGACGGTGCCTGTCACGAAGGGGTGTTTGGAGAGTTGTATGAATTTGTAAAGTGCACAGAACAGAGCCTCTGTCCTGCACATACTCTGTGTGTTTCAGTAAATTCCTTTTGCCCCAGTCATAGAGACTCCACTTCCTGAAATCAAGCTTTTTTTTCTTGATTCAGTTCACAAACCATAGTTTCATAAACCCTCATGTGTTGTAGCTATAAATGTTGCCAGTCATGAATTATACAGTAACTCCGCGATTATCATTATGGTAAGTAGAGAAAATTTGGGACTTACCATAATTCTCAAGAAGTGTAAGGAATTAATGAGTGGTTATGAAGTCAAAATAAAATTTGGAGTAAAAGTTGGTGTAGGTCAAAAGTGAAAATATAATTTGAAATTCGTTTTGTTCCATTAGAATTTTGTATCTTTTCAAAGAATTTTTTTATTAAGTAAATTAACTGAGGTAACAGAAACAGAATGAATATATTTTTTAATTAAAAAAGTAATAGGGGGGATAGATGGTGACGGAAGGAGCCTTGGGGTGGTGAACACATATTCAGTATACAGATGATGTATTATAGAATTGTAGACCTGGAAACTATATAATTTTACCTAATAAATTCAATTTTAAAAAAATTATATTGGTTAAGTCTTTAGTGAACCTGGTGGGGCATGGCACAATGACAACTTATTTTCTAAAATTATAGGCCTCTGACCCCATCACCCTTGGAAAGATAGGAATTACAACATTTTTATGATCTGTGTTAGAAAATTTATTTACCATGGAAATTTTATTATTGCATAATTGTTACTGAGCCCAGTTTGTCTCTTAATTATCAAAATCTGTGATATTTTAGCAATTCAGACAATTCAGTGTCTGTGTTAGTTTTCTGTTGCTGCTCTATCAAATAAACACAAATGTAGCAGCTTGAAGCAACACACATTTATTATCTCACACTTCTGGAGTCAGAAGCTTAAAATGGAGGCTCAGGAGAGAGCCTGTTTCCTCATCTTTGCCACCTGCCAGAGGGACCTGCACTCCTTGGCTTGTGGTCTGTTCCTCCATCTTCAAAGCCAGCAGCGTAGCATCATCTCTCCCTAACTCTGCCTCTAGCTGCTCCTGGAAGTCGTCACATCACCTTTTCTTGTCTCTGATTTTATCCTTCCTGTTTCTATCTTATAAGGAGCCTTGTGATTATTACCGCTGAGCCCACAAAGACAATTTCCCAACCTCAACATCTGTAACTCAGCCACATCTGTAGAGTCCCTGTTTATGTAAGGTGACACCCACAGGTTCTGGCGATTGTGATCTGGATACCCTGGGAGGGCCATATTCAGTCTACCACAATGTTTGTGGTAATTTTTCCTTAGGGCCTTTCTTTTGGGTTACTTGACTACATTTTAAAAAGCAAAATGTCTTCCTTTTCAAAAAATAATGTTAAGTGCTTCCGAGGTTCCAGTTTATTTTACTGGATAAACTGGATAAATATATACAACTGTTACTTTTTTTTTCTTTCATTCCAGATCCTGGGTGTTTGGCTGACCTACAGATACAGGAACCAGAAAGATCCTCGTGCTAATCCTAGTGCATTCCTTTGATGAGAAAACAAGGAAAAAATTTCACATTCTGATCTTGTTCACAGCTACTTTAAGTTACACTAATTTGCCTGTTCAAGAAAACAGTATCTGAAAAATTACATTATCGACAGTGGAACTATATATTTTTACTCTTATGTTTCCCTAAGTGTTTTTCTTTTTCCATTGCTGAAAAAAGAAATAGAAACTTGTGGTCTCCTCTGAACCTCAGTGGTACCTGTAATCTACTGTACTCACAGTGTCTGGCACTGTCCACTGTGGCCTTTCTTAGCATTTTTACCTGCAGAAAAACTTTGTATGGCACTACTGTGTTGATCATATTGTGATTCTAAATCTACATCTCACTGGAATAACTCAGTGTATGTAACACTGTGCTGTGTAGATAGTTCCTACCAGAAAAAAGAGTTCAAGTTTATGAAAGCCAGTAAGTATGAGATTCTATTATGTGAAGTTCAGAACGGGAAATCAAATTCCCAATTTTTTCCTTTTTAGGAAGTATGTATTATGGTGAAAATTAATGTAAAAGTGATACTGTAGTTCTAGTAGTCCTTTATGATTACACTAATGTATTCTAGAAGTAGCTATGTGTTTAGGAAAGTGTGGTTTAATTTTTTATTTTTACAGGTAAGTGCAAAGGAGAAATGGTCTTATAAATGGTCTGATATGTGACATTTGCCTTCAGCCTTCAAATGGAATGAGTTTGAGAAATTCAGAAAGTGTATCTGTATATTCCTGATATTCTTTTATAATAATTTGAAGTCCAAAAGACTGCATTTTAAACAAGTTACTATTAATGCATTGGCCCATGTAGCAAAAAGATATTTATCATACAAATTGTTAAATACCTTTTTCATAAAATTTCTCAGTGTTATAACAGCAGCTTGTTAAATCCAAGCATATTTGAATGTGACCTCCCATAATTTGAATTTGAAATAGTATGTGGTTCTGTATATTATGTTAAAAAAATTAAAGGATGGTAACCTTTCTTCGTGTATGGGTGTTTGTATTAAAAGAAAGTAATAGAAGAATTGACATGTGAGTTAAGTGAAATGAAATTATTTTTGTGTTGGGTTCTCATTGATCTAGAACTGAGTATTGCTACTTTAATGTATAATCCAGCTATAGGAATGAACTAGGGCTAATCTACTGGTAGTCATCCCCAAAATCCTTTCTTAAAATGTTTCAGTGTTTAATATCTTCTTCATAGTGAGAATTGTTTTTAAAAAAGGAGTCATTCCTATTTATTTGAGAAAAATATGTTGTTTTCTGTTACCAATAATCACTCATTTCTTGTCTTGCGTTTCTGTTTATGGTATTTTACTGGCAATTGTCTTGATGGATTTTAGACCAAGCAAGAGAGTAAATGGTTGATTTATAGAATTTTAGAGTATTGTGTGTGTGACTGTGTGTATGAGGGGAACCTACCAAAAACTGGGAATTATCATCTGGAGGGCAGGCCTTTTGTAGTACAGGCTGCCCCTACTATGTGAGTGTTCTAGGAACCCACATGTATGAGAGTACCAACTGGTGGTGTTGTGAGAGGCTGCGTTTGGTTTCAGTGAACTTTTTTTTTACTCTTTCAGTCTGTTTGCCCATTTCATGGTGGGTGATTTATGAGCACACATGTCCACTCTGTGCTTCGTGTTCAGCAGTTTTTGACCAAAAATGGCATAACTCCCATTCCCCACCCCCCTGTTCACCCTCTCTTGCCCCAAGTGACCTTTTTTTGTGTGTCCCTGGATGAAAAAAACCCTAAAAGGGAAATATTTTGCCAGTGTGGAAGAAGTAAAGAAAATGGCAGAAGCATAAAGGGCATCAAAATTGATCAGTTCAGAAACTGTTTTGCATTAAATGGGGAGTACTTTGAAAGTGACTGAAGTTTAAACATGGAAGAACAAATACACATTTTTTTATAAATAAATTCCAGTTTTTGGGGGGCCCTCCCCTGTGTGTGTGTGTGTGTGTGTGTGTGTGTGTGTGCGCGCGCGCGCGCGCACGCCAGTTACGGGACTGTGGGATGAGGGGGGGGCGGGTACCAGGAACAGCACAGTAAACAAAGGTAAGGCTTACTATGTAGAACTAAGTCAGTGACTTACACATTGATGGGAGTGTCTTGAGATTTAGAGTCATCCTTCTCTTCCTGGTACAGAGAAGGAGACAACCTAGAAGTAGAGATTTCCTTTGTAAGTGTAAATTTCTCCTATAGAAGGATAAGATTCCCTGTTTTCAGAGCTTCTATGTCTGCTGTTTGTCAAAAATGATCAGCTCAAAATAATCTTTATGCCTAAGAGGCATATCATGGGGTTGCGTATTCTGTTACCCTTCAGTGTCATGCTGAGCACTGGCCAGCCCTAACAAACCTCCCGCTGATACCCTACGATGAGATTGAGTGCCACATGAAGGAAGTGAAATTTTTGAACTGTATCTTCTTCTAAGGGATTTTGTTTGCTTTGTGCCGTATTTGCTTTGTGACATTTTGAACTTCACATGAGTTACTGGAATCTTCTCTATATTAATTTCCTTGGTACAAATGATTATATGTGAAAAGGCTATTTCAGAGAGAGAAACAAAACCATAACCTTGGTTTGTGCTGTAATTGCAAAGGCCTTTAATTGGGTCAACCTAATGACACATCAGAGCCTGGGAAGCCTGCCTCTTTAGGGCTCAAAACTATAGAATTATAAGAGTGGGTAGTAGCTAGTGGTTAGCCATTCAAGAAATAAATGCACTTGTAAGTACCAAGAGCAGCCTTGTCAGGTTAATGGGAGCTTTCTGCTCCCTTGGGAAGACCTAAGGGTGGTAGATCATCAAGCGTCCTCTAGGAGTTCTCCTGTGACCTTTGTGTCTGGTGCAGAAATACAGCTCCTGGTCTGCCGTGTATCACCATGCCTGCTGGAAACGGCCTCTGCAGAGGCCTGCCCTGCACCCCCATGGCCGCCGGTGGGCCTGGGGGAGGCAGGCTGGTGCCGCGATTCTGGGAGGGCCACTGCTGTGTGCACAGAAATGCCGCTGCAAATGCGGTGTCAAAGGAGGGTGAGTTTCCGATCAGCCTGTCTTCAAATTACAATGAATGGCTGTAAGGAGCTCCTTCTAAACCTAGCATTTATTTTAAAGAACAAGCTATACTACCTTTATACATTTCTCTTATGTCCTTTGTATGCATTCCATTTAGAGGAATATTATGTCGAACATTTGCCCAGGCAGCCTTGATGTTAAAGGTGAAATTTTAGAGAATATAATGGAATACAAAGGAAAAACGTTAGACTGTAAATTCTAAAATCTGAGCTCATGTGGCATAAATTCATCCCAGATACTCTTTTTTTTTTAAGCAGCAATGAGTCTGGTTTGAAAACCAGTTGTGCGTGTTCAACCTTAGTAACATGCTGCTGGAGGGAACCTTTCAGAGACGAAGAGAAACCAGAGTGGCTTTCAGGTCTTGGGGTCCTTAGACCAAAATCCTCCTCCTACATTTTCCATAAATATTTGGTGAACCCTATTAAAGTTTGTTCATCCTTTTGAAAAGCCCTGAGTAACTTTATGAAACTACTTTACTTTTTAGCTGGTATGGAAAAAGTTAAAAATCACATTTTTACATAACATTTCCTAGGAGAAAACGGCTTTCCGGCATTGTGATCATACAAATGTCATCATTCACATGTTCATTGTTTTATTAGAGGTGATCATAACGTGAAAGACCAAGTTACATAGTTTCAGGTAAGTGAGGTGATTTGTGCAGAGCTGTCCTGCACTCAGTGTGTTTGAGGCAGGCAGTTAATGTTTACTCCTGACTCAATGCCAAGTGCAATTACAAGACGTGTCATTGGTGGATGTTTTCTAAACTGTTTTAAGGGAGCAGTGAATGATAGCTGCACCTGACACCAGGGAGACAGAGAGACAGAAAAAAAGAGAACAGAACTCTTCACATTGAAGTTTACCTGGAATGACAGATCATAACCTGGCAATTGCAGTCATCGAAGTACCTCTTGAGACGGTGGAAAAGGGGGGAATCAGACCCCTCCTGCCATGTGCCAGGCTTCTTTTCATCTACTCGGGAAAGTCAGCTTTGGGGATTCATTTTTCAAATGAGGCCTTGAGGAAGTTGCCTGTGAATTAAAAATATATCTCAAAGAATGGACTTTAATACCACTTGGAGGGTGAACACACTTGTTTACTTTCATATCTTGCTTTTTACAGGTAGATGATGTCACAACTTGACAAGTGGCTTGTTAATAGGTTAGGATGACTCAACTTGGACTTTGAAGTCCACCTTGTTCGTGAGGCATCGAAGAAAGTTCCATTCTTGCCTTTGAGCTTTTTCTGTTCTCTCAGCTCCCATTCTCAGCAGTGATTGCTAAATATAAGGACCTCTGTAGCTATGCAGCTTACTGAATGCATAAAACAAGCAAAAAAAACTAATGCAGAGAGAGTCATAAATGATTGTTGGGAAACGACTGAGGCTCTAAAACGGGTAAAAATGGCTTAATCAAACATGTTGATCCATGTAAAAGACTTTTACAGATGATTTGTTAAAGCAACTCTTCTTTAAGTTTCTTTTTCCCCTAAGTGGTGGGACCTCAGATAAAACTGATGCTTTTTTCTTTAATGTGGAAAAACATACGTAAAACTTACCATTGTAACCATTTTTAAGTGTATAATTCAGTGTCATTAAGTACAGTCACATTGTTCCACAACCATCACCGCCATCCGATTCTGTAATCGTCCCGAACTGAAAATCTACACCCGCTAATCAGAATCTCCCCCATTCCTCCTCTCCCTTCAGACCCTGGAAACCGCCAGTCTACTTTCTGTCTGTGGCTGCATTAGGCACCTCATAAGACTGGAATCATACGGTATTTGTCCCTTGTTACTGGTCTACTTCCTATAGAGTCCTCAAGATTCATCCATGTAACATGTGAGAATTCCTTTTAAAGGCCGGATAATATTCCGTTCTATGTATGTAGTACATTTTATTTATCCATTCATCCATTGGTGGATATTTGGGTTACCCACCTCCTGGCTATTCTCCCACCTCTTGGCTATTCTGAATAATGCTGTTGTGAACCTGAGTGTGCAAATACCTTTTCCTTGCTTTCAGTGTTTGGGTACATATTTGGAAGTGGAATTGCTGAATTGTATGGTCATTCTGTATGTAAGTTTTTGAGAAACAGTCATACTGTTTTTCTATGGTGGCTGCACCATTTTACATTTCCATTATGTTGCCAACATTTTTTTAGCATTCTTTCACTCCTTTGTACTCAGAGAAATAGTCAAGAAATGCTTTCATTTAAATTTATTTAAACATGGAGGAAAGATTGTGAGACGACTAAAGGATTTGATAGAACAGACCTTGCTAATGCTTCATGAGCTTAAAACAACAGTTTTGATGTTTCCATCTTCACTTCTCTAACTTGTTTATGTACACATTTCTTGGAGTTGCAAAAAGCATAAAAATTCTTAAATTTTTTTTCCTTTATTCTTTTTTCTTTATCCCTTGTTTCGCCCTAATGTGTATTGCATTTATAGATGACAACATCCTGCATTATGTATTAATAAACATTTGTAATCATTATATTTGGATCTGTTCAATTTTTTTTAAATTTTTAATATGTTTAATGTTGCCATTGGCATCTTCACAGAACTCTTTCTCTTGAATGATTGATTTTCATAGGACAAATTCTCAGAATTTGAGGAGACTGGGTCAAAGTCAATCAGTTTTTTTTCAATGTCTTGCTCTGTGTTTAATACTTTTCTAAGGGAGATTTATTTTTCTTGCAACCTTGACATTTGACTTCCCAAACATTTATTTATATTTTAAAATTCATATGTGTTAAAATAATATTTTGCCATTCAATAAATTTTAAAGACTTAATCTCATTTAACATCAGCCTAATAAAAAAGTAAACATTATTTTGTTGTTATAGATGAAACCTGAATAACTTGAGTTGTCATTCAAAATATTTTTTATGCAAGTGAAAACTATTCCTCTCAACCCTCAGAGAACTTTCTAAATGAAATATTTGACCTCTTTAAGCACATGTAGGTTGCTACTTAGTGAAGGGAACCCAATACCTCTGTTGACATTTTTGCTGAGGATTTGTATGTCATTAAACCAACCATATATTCACAGAACCTATTAATGAATAGCTCTGTCAGAGTACTGTGAGCGAGAAAAGTACTTAAAACATATTATCTGCCCTGGAGTTAATGCATAATGCCAAAGACTATTCAGAAAAGGGCCTATCTTTAACAAGTTATTCAAGACAAGCGATAGATAATCAATGTGCAAAGCATTGTACAGACCACCACAGCCATTCAGGGTCTAAAGAAGTCAGGGGGCTGGGTTATAAAAAGAATTCCATATGATAGTGAAATAATTCACACTCTTTGAAATTACGTAGTGAAGAAATTAATAACAGTTCTAATTTTTGTCAAGCAGAATAGAGTTAAAAGTGGCTAACTCTGCTTTCCTGTTACCACATCCGCCCAACTTTTCCAATGATAAAGAGTGACTTCTGATCTCTACCTCATATACAGGATATCACTGTCCTTTGCTCTACCTTTTGGTGTGAAAAATGAAAACAATTCAACTGACTTTATTCCAGGCAACGACTCTTAAGACCTTGAGAGACCCGATGTATCACAAGGCTACTTTTCAGGATTTCTTGAGCATGTGTTCATGGATACAGATATTTTTTGAGTGAGCTCTTCACAAAATTAGTCTTCTGAAGGAGAAAACCGAAAAGCACACTCCAGACGCCTTCGCTGAGAGCGTTGAGTTAAGCAAAATCTAATGACAATTGAATTACTAAAATAACGTATGTACATTGGAGTTTCTGGTTACTGCTGGGGGGGATGTTGTTTTCCATTTAGGAACCTGATTTTCTTGGGATGCCTTTCTATGTGTTTTTTCACACTAATGCATATTCTGTTTGATGCTGCTGTTGATTAAACTAATGCCTACTTCATTCACCCAGTGAGAAAAGGTAGCAAGATGAGAAAACTTTGGCCTTCATTGCTTGAACTTTTTCTGTATTGCCCTCACGCCCTCTTTGAACATTCTGTATGTGGAAAGGTCCTATTCGGTGAATGAACCCAATCGCTTTTCTGTGAAAAACCAAGTTAGGAAAAAAATAGCAATTTAACGCCCCCAAAGGATTTATTTTATTTTTTTAAAAAGTATGGCTTACTATGGTAGTTTACAATATTGTTTTCATACATGTATACTTGAAAACAACAAAAAAATAGCTGTTGTAACATTAAACTGTGATCTAATGAGCATGTCCACCCGTGCTCCTGCCTTCTCCAGTCTTCTGAAATCCCTCTGGTTCCAGGTATCATGGCCCAATTAGAGGGAAGAGCTTGCAAATTTTGTTTTTTCTCTACAATTCAGTCTTCAGCAACTTGAGCGCTTTCTTCATGTTGTCGAGAACTAATGGGCAAAAAAATTATGAGTCAAGACGTGACCAGAAATTATATTAATAGATACAGTAAGCCCCCAATCTTGGGTATTCTATTTATTGTTTATTGGGGTGCTATTGTATCATAAGGTAAGAATTTGGTAATCTTACTGTAACTTTTTTTCTAAAATTATGCAACTGGCTTTTATTTGTACAACCCAGTTCTCTTAACAATATTTATTAAATGCCTTTTCTACAACATACTGTGATATTACCCATGCAGGATACCTGCTTGAAGGAACCTAAAGTCTTAGTAAGGTACATGCTGTTATCTCGAGAGCAGTCAATTCTTGGCATGTGCTTCCCCTGGCTCCCTTAGCGCCCGCTGAAGGCATTGCTAATGGACCATGCTAATCTTTCTGCTGCCCAGGCACTGCCTCAAATCCTTCCAAAATAGAATTTTTATGTGCCATCCAGTGAGAATTTCTGTGGTAATGAAAATGTGATTAGTGTGACTGAGGAACTGAATCTTAAATTTTAAGGGATTGAAATTAACTATTAAACAGCCACATGTGGCTAAAGGCTAACACACGAGGTAGTGAGTGCAGACCTAGGCAACCACTACTGAGCAGATTGGTTCCTAGGACAGAACCCAATTTTCTTCCCAGAAGGACTAATTAAATGTCACAAGTCGGTACCGTCTCTCATTGAGGTATCTCATGTTCCTTGAGTCCCCCCCAACCCCGCCTCCTCGCCTCTAGGGAAATGAGTCTCTCGGCAACTATTTGGAGCCGTCTTTCCTACTGATCTTTAAATCCGAACTTGAATTCAATGTCACCAAGCTAGACTAAATTATTTCACTATCATTATTTGAAAAAAATTTTTTTAACAGAGCATGCAGATGTACTACAACTATTGTATTCAATTCTCTGATACGAGGAGTTGTATGTTAGTGTGCCCAAGAGAAAAACCTGAAAAACAGATAATTCGGTCATAGAACCTACATCGAAATTAAGTTATTGATCTTTAACTACAACTTTTAGAGAATGAGATCGAAGTGACGAGACTAGTCAAGCTGATTCTCCAGGGTCCATGAGCAGCCCTCCCTGCCTGCGTCATAGTCACGTGGCCACTACGCCCACAGCACCTCAGGAGAGACGTTCAAAGGAGGTAACACTTACGCAGAGCTGTGTCTGAAGGTTCATAAGCATAGAGACGATTCGAGTATCTTCCGGTGATGTCGGCTCTGACCGTCAGGGATGGGTCTACAAAGGAAACGTGAAAGGGGATGGAGTGCTATGTTCACAACAGCACTATTGCGGGACAAAGTCCATGCATTGGCCCAAGTCCTGTGGAAAGAATGCAGCGCGGGTCCCGCCGGGTCCGGTCCGGCATCAGCATCCCGCAATCAGAACCCTGAGCAGCAGCCAGGACCCGGAGCCGGGCTGGGCGTCGTCAGCGGCTGTGCACACTATTTGTGCAAAAGGTTATGGACCCTGCTGTCCTATCTAGAGCAACCTGAAAACAGGATTAATACATATCGTTGGGCTGGTCTTTTTGTTTTGGGTGAAAACATTGGCATTCTCTACAAAGGAATTATTTTAAGCTTTTGAAACGATCATGCCGTGATTGAAATGTATGGCTACCAAGGGCAACCTAGATAATTAGAAACCCACATCTGATGCCATATATATATACTTTAACTTGAAATTAACAATGAGACAGAAAGGTATTTTTAAAAAAGTCGTATCCAAAAAGGAGGTAGTACTGGGATGCACAGGGGCCTAGAAACCTTACCTTTACAGAAGTGACTGGGGAGCCTAAGGTATATGTCCTGAAATCTAGGTGAAGAGGACATGGGAGAAGCACCCGTACGTTTGCAACTTCTGTCTCCAATATTTGAATGGACAGACTCTGTCATTTCAGAATACTGGACTAGGACCAACACAAGCTGCAAGAAGCAGACGTCCTTTTGTTCAGCAAAGACTTGGACCTGCTGCTGCTTGGTGCGGGGGATGCAAGCACCTGTTTTGATCTTGGTACTAAATTAACATAAAGGCTTTTCAACACCCAGCCATTGGCTCATAATCCTGGCTGCACAATGGAATCACCTGGAAAGCTTAAAAAAATCATGGATGCCTGCTTCCCACCCCCATACATTGTTTAATTGGTTTGAGGTGTGGCCTGGGCAGCTTGTTTTTAAAACTCTTCCAGGTGATTCTAACGTGCAGGGATGTGGAGAACTACTGAGCTGGAGAGCACGCTGCCTCAGAGCTGGAGTTGGTTCTTATACAACTGAGGAGACCAAATGAACGTGGGTGAAAATGCCCTTTGCTGGGAATACTGTGAACACAATTTGTGTACAAGGTAGGGCTGGATGACCTGCAAAGCGTCTTCCAATTTCAAGGGTTCTAAATTTTCTAAATCCTAACCAAATCCAATCTATAAAGCTCTAGTTCAGGCTTCCTCCATTCCTCCTTCACTTTTTTCTCTCCCCTCTTTTGTACAGTTAATATGAACATGGAGGAATTACAGAGGTAAACTACTGGATTAGAGTGGGCTCTTTTTTGTGTGATGGATTTCATCGTGGACTGCCTTTAAATCATATGATATTGATCGGAGCCAAACTCAATTAATGTGTTCAGTTTTCTAAGAAATATTTATTGTGAGCCTACCACAGGTTCATGCTGAAAATATTACAATGGTGAGCAGAAACAGACGTAGTCCGTGTGACATGGAGCTTAAAGTCAGTCCCATGGGGGAAAATACTGATTGAACAACTACCTAATAATTATAAAATTATTACTGCGGAAAATACAGCCATTGAAAGAAACATGGCGCCACAAAAGCATGTATCTGTGGGGCTGTGGCCAGGTCTGGAAAGACAGTGACGTTTGGGGTGTTAACTAGGTGACATGCCGTTTCAGGCAGGAAGCTGGAGGAGCTCTCCAGCAGCGGAACAGCATATAAAACGTCCCAGTGGCAGGAAGGAGCATGGCAACTCCAATTATTTTTTAAACTCATATTCTTAACTTTCCTAAAATAATTATCAACAATATCAGAAAGAAATAGCCAACACACAAATTGAAAGTTTGCCTGATTAAATAAGTATCTACAGGCCTGATGTACAGGAGTGGGCAAACGTAGGTTTACAGTTGGGAGTATGTGAAACAGTTTATACTTGGATTATTATTTATTAATGGTTGTACTATTATTATTATTTACCTACTTTTGCTCATCCCTGTATTTAGGAAAGTGATCAATACATTTAATCAGTTAACAGGGTGCTTCCTTCTCAGATGTATTTGTGGCGGAAGATGAAACGTTAACATTAGCATGTGAGGAAAAAATGTCATCTGTGGCAATAGCGGGAAGCTCACATTTTCCTAATGAAAATACTTTGTGAAACTTCAGGGACTGTTATACCCCTACTAGAACACGGTGGAGAGACCGATGAGGGTGGGGGGGAGGGGCGGAGGAGGGCGTATGGCAGCGCTTGTGTCACTGTCTGAGTGTGTTTCATGTCACTGTCACTTTCACTTACCAACAAACATAATCCTGGGGACATATTGGCCGTCAGGAGAGAGGTGCTTGTCTGTCGTTTCATACTAAAATTAAAAAAGAAAACAAAAACCAGCGTTTAGTTTGTTTACTCTTTAATTATTTTCGAACTTATTACTATAAAAATGTATCCATTACTGGGCTACTCATCTCAAGATCTTGTAAGACCCATCTCTTCCACAAAGAGTGATAATACAGACACAGAGACAAGCTATGTGCGTGAAATAGGAAGTGCAAAATGGGATGCAGAACAGGAGGTAAAGAGCTGAATGTATGTGATAAAGAGCAAAACAAGTTCATGAAGGAGAATTTGAAAAGACTTATTATGTCTGGCAAAGACATCTTTTATGAGGTAGGAGGAAATAGATTAATGAAAAAGCAGAAATCATTTTTGGAGAAATTACAGAAATAAACAGGATTATCTTGAGCACTCATCTATTCATTTATCACACTTTTATTTAGAAAGTGGTGGTTTTTTTTTTTCATTTAGCAATATATAGCACTTATTGTAGATGCACAATCCATTGGGAGCTACAGGTAGGTAAATGGATCCTGGGGACCCAGTGGCTGCAATGTTATCATGGAGGATATAGAGCTGCCCCGGGCGCCCAGAGGAGGACATTTAACCCCGTATGCAAGTTCTATTTGGACGTTATGAAGTGAGTAAGGAGGAATCTTGAAAAAAGTGGAAGAAGTCAGTTACATGGAACAGGAGGTCATTCCAGGCAGAGGGGAGAGATTGCGCAAGGTAGAGGAAACGCATAGCACTTTCTGGTATGACCAAGTGTCTGGAAGAGGCTGATATATAGGGTCCGTAGGAGACGGTGGGGAGAGAAGATGCTGAAGACCGGCTTCATGGCTGGTTTGCAGTGGCGGGATGTGAGAGGAGGTACCGTGATCCCAATATGGTCTTCAAAGTAACCAGCCTGATGGCATGTGGCATTAGATGGAATTTATCTGGTGGGCATGGAGCCGTTTAGTAATAGAGCAGGAAGCTAAGTGAAGTGAACAAGTCTTACACTAAAACGATTACCCTCAATTTATAGGGAAGGGACCAATAACAAAAATATTTAAGGGGTAGAACCACAGGTCTTCTTGACTACAGGAGGTGAGGAGGGGAGTCTGATCTAGAATAACACTTTAGATGAGATAGGGAATAGAGAAAGAAATACAATTTGAAAAGCCGAGAAGTTCAGTTGAACATGTTGAGTTTAAGTTAATTAGGGGATACCTGGAACATGGTTGTGTATACCAGTTGGAAATTGTAGCCCGTTTGGGTAAGATGTGGAATTATCAGTGTGTGGACGTTGATTAAAGACGGATGAAGACAATGTTGTCCATAGAGAATATACAATATGAAAACAAGAGTAGGTTAAATAGAGATTCACAAAGTCACTTAATATTTCGGGATAGGAAGAGGAAGTACAGCCTGTGGAAGGGATATGAAGAACTACTGCTGTGGATGCTCTTTGGGGAAGCCAACCTGTCAACCTTTGAGGAGAACGAGAGGCAGCGACTGACTTGAGGGTTGAGAGAGTTAGGCAGAAATCTTTGAACATCAGGACGGGTGGCAATGGTGAAGTCAGTGGGAACGCAGGAGGCTAAGGCACAGTGCAGGGTGCGATCTGGACAACCAGAGAGCTGTCTCTTCCAGGGAGAGAGGAGACAAGGACCAAGAATGGGCGTAGAGCAGCCAAGAAGGACTGCAGGAAGGGGCATGGGAGGAAATGTGCAAAATACAAAAGCCTTCCAATTATTGTAGCAGCAAAGAAACTCCTAACCACACGAGAGTACTTTTCAGGCATTCTAAAGTTATTCATTACTTAATAAAAACATTAATATGAAAGGTAGATTATTAATAAAATAAAGTACCGTTTTTCTCTCAGTCTCTGAGATGAGTGTTTGGAACAGATCCCAGTGCACCCTATACGTGGTTAAGGGGTATCGGGAAAATGACTCATCCATGTTGAATAGTGAGCCCTGGAGAAATGTCAGCGATGATGAAAAGGCAACTTACAACGAGATTGATGAGGACAAACTGCTCTGCCAGTTTCTGGATTTCTTTGTTTTCAGCAAATGCTTTCTTTAGAGCTATGGTATAAAGAAAAATCATTAAGCATCCCTCTCAGCACCAGTTAAAACCATTGTTCTCTGTTACATTTTAAGTGGAACCATATTTTCAACACAGTGTTCAACTTTACCCTTTCAGCAAATGATTAGTGTGGTAATATCTAGGCTATTGACTACCTTTGCTTCTTGCCATTCACTCATTCCTTCATCCACCATCCATCCATTCATTTATGTTTTTCAGCCTATATTTATTGAGTGGCTACTCTCTGGTAGGCACTGTTTTATGCCCTGGAAATAGAACAGTGAAAAAAAAAGTAATGTGCTTTCTTCATGGAGCTCAAATGTCTGTGTAGGAGCAGACCATAAGTAAGTAAACCAATACATGTCTAGTAATTTCATGTGGAGATATGTACTTTGAAGAAAAATAAAGCCAAGCAAGGGGTTTAAGGGCTTCAGAGTGGTCAGGATAGCTCTCTCTGAGGAGGTGACACTGAAGTGAGAGAGTGACCCATTCAAAGACTGTGGAGGTGTGATACACAAGGTGGAAGGGACTCTAAGAGCAGTAGTCCCAAGGCAGAAATGAGCTCAGATGTTTGAGGCAAAGCACAAAGGCCAGGCCCAGTGGACTGGACAGTAAACAAGAGGAAGGAAAGAAGGAACCAGAGGCCAGATCGTGTTCAGCCTTGTAGGCCATGGTCAGGAGTCTGGATTTAACTCTACCTGTGGGTAGAAGCTGCAAGAGCACATGACCAATAGGATCTGATTCATGCTTAATAGCTTCATTCGGGCTTCTGTATGCAGAACTGACTACAGGGTGACCAGCTATGTGGCTGTTTAGAGTACTCTAGATCTTGTTTTGGATCCAGGCAGTAGCAATGGGACAGCAGGATGAGTTTGGATTTGAGCAGGACCTACATAATATATTGAGCCCAGTGCAACATAAAAATATGGAGCCCCTGCTTAAAAAATTATTAGGAATTTGAAGACAATGACTATAGAACTTTAAACCAAGCATGGGAACTTCCTAAGTACTCGGTCTAGTACAAAGCACAGGTAGGTTGCATGTCCCTGAAGCTGCCCCTGGCTTTGGGATGTATTTTGGAGGCAAAGTCAATGTTATATGCAGATGTACTGGATGTGGGATAAAAAAGAAAGATGTCAAGGATGAATCCCAGAGCTTGTTTTTTCAGAATATGCATGCGTGGTTAACGCACAACATGGCACTATTTGAAGTTACTTTACATACCTTTTTACTACACGAAATATCATTTTTTATTCCACTGTGACAATTGCTAAGGCTCTTAAGATAAGTGAGCCAAACGTTGGCCCGAAAGCCAAAGCCTATAAAGGAAATTATTTGGAAGGATAAATTACCTTGACTGTGTGGGCATTCATCCAAGTGATGAATAATCATCAAAGGTTTGTTGCTTTAAAAGAAAAAGAGAGATTGGATAATTTTTACTGAGTAGGATTTCATGTATAGCTAGTATCACTAGGTGGTGCTCTTGAGAGCTTTGAGATTGCTATGAAATCATCATCTTTACCTTGACTTCGATTTGTATAAAGCTTCTTCATATGTCTGAGTCCAGATGAGTTGATCACCCCAACCTAGGACAAAATGAACTGGTATGTTTAAAACTATTTAATTTCAGACCCAAAGATGTTGAAAAGCAATGATAATGACTGGGTTATATAGTTGATATTAAAGAAGAAAAACCTCTACAGAAAGCAGAAAATAATTATACATTTTGATAAACCAAGAAGGAACACACACACACACACACACACACACACACATCTGTTGAGTGCGCAAGTCTCAGCTTCCCAGTGAAGCAGCGTTGGAAGCTGATGAGAAGCTGACTCCTACCTCTGGAGAGGGTCTGGGGCAGCTTGGGTGGAGAAAGCTTTGAGTCCTTCTTAGCTCCAGGTTTGACGGTGGTGTCTTTGGCCAGAGTGTAGGAGAGGGCCACAAGGAGTAAGAATGTTGACACTGAAATCTTCTCCATGGCAGATCTGAAAATGGAAAACAAACAAATAAGCAAAAGGTTAATAACACAAAAGGGAATTAGCAGCCTTCAATATCTTCGGACTTCATTACAGTTGCGGATTACGACAGGAATTGAGGCATAGCTGAGAGTGAAAACATGCAGCTGGAGCGAAAAAATGACTTGCCACAGAATTTCTTAAGAATACATGCGTGAATGTCTTTGTTTGTTTCTCTTTCCATACAGATATAAATATAGAGATGTAGATCTCATAGAAATCTACAATGTAGGTATAGATATATTTTAAGAGAAGAAGTAGATGTATATACTCTTAGAGCTAAGGGAATCTACACTTAAAATTTATATTTAAAACATTTAGTACTGGAAGGTACATTATTAGTTACCTCATCTTTTCCTACCTCCCCAATGCCTCATTTTATAGATAAAGAATCCAAAATTCAGAGAGATAAAGATTTATGAGATTGTTGCTGAACCAAGGCTCCTGGATCTTGTCCCTGGTTGCCCTGGCTTCTGTTTTCCCATCCTGAAACAATTACCCTAATCATACATGCTTCTTTAGCATTCTCTTAAAATGCAGACATTGCCATTGAAGTAGAAGATCTGAGTAAGATTCCTTATTTAATTTAAAATCTGTTAACTTTGTCACTTATCTGAAAACTTCCACCAACATAACTCTTTCCCCAGTGTAATGTTTATTCAAAATCTATATGTAGCTCTGAATTGACTGAAAAATTTCGGTGCAAGTGCCTTCTACTAAAACAACTCTGATGCCTGCAATGAGACTGAATAGGTAGGTGGTTGAGGGCATGCACTTGTGCGCGCAGCAGTATTTTATGGGACTCAGGACACTGAGAAAGCCTCCCCACGGCTGTCTCTTTGTTGGTTGTGTGTGTGTGTGCGTGTGTGTGTGTGTGTGTGTGTGTGTGTGTGTGTCCCAGTATTCCACAGTAAATTCGTAGGGAAGGTTACACTGCTGTGAAGCAAATGCCCAATGGACAGGAGAATGAATGACAAGGTCTGGAGGGAGTGAGGGAGAGAGCAAGCTAGCAAAGTGAGCGGCACTAGCAAATCACTGTGGTTATCCAGGGAGCATAACATGCAAAGCTGGAGACGTGGGATTTTAGTAAAGCCAAAGATTGAAATTGCTTGAAAAGAAATATCCATCTCTAATACCTATACTGGTACAGACCTGGAATTAAATAAATTACAAAAAAAGCATGATGGGCTATCAAGGCTTAGAGTTTTTAAGGGGGAAAGTTTTTTACATTCTGGTAGCTTGAACGGGAACCTTTGCTGATTTAAAAAAAAAAAAAGTGTTGCTAAATTACCAAATCCAGACGATATCTTATATTAAACTGGCCAATTATTATGCAAGTAGTCCATGTAACCACAAAATGTCTTACCCAAAAAGACATAAACAAAAAACAAGGATACATTTTCTTCCTTTTCTACACTGTTGAAGATGTGGAAATGCCAATAAAAACTGATATGTCTTAGCCTTCTGCAGAAACAACTAAATGTCCTACAGATCAACAGTCCCCAGCCCTTTTAGTACAAAAACTTATTTTCAATATTTAAAAATACCAGGAACTTTTGTGAGAATAAGTGTACTTTCTGAATACTAGCTGCTTTAGAAACATCATGGCAAATAGCTACTTTGAATTTATGAGCACGCATTTGATTTTGTATTTTATTTAGACCAACAGAGCCTGTATATTAAAAAAGAATCATAAACTGGCAATGACCCATTTTTACCTCTTTAGTCCATTGACAATTGCTGCCTTGCAGGTGGCTATTAAGAGCACTTGTGGTAGTGCCACAGCTTCCAGGTTGATATATTTACACGTGCTTTATGGCAGGATGCCTCCCGTTTGCCTAATTCAACTCCTGCTGCCCAAACATCCTGCTGTGGGCTGACTCTCTGAGATCCTTTCTATTGAGTTTCTATAATATGAATAGCCTCTGCTCTGCAAACTTCCTGCACACCATCTTCAAACAGAAGGCTAACTGTGGGAGACGGTGGCCGCTTGGACACACACACACACACACACACACACACACTCGCGCGCGCGCACACACACATACTGAAATCAATGCTTTTTATTGTTCACTCTATCTCTGTCATCTTTACCAAGGAATAAACTGGCAGGAGGTGTCCGTGCCTTTCCTCATAAATGCTTCAGGAAAGCACCCCGATTTCTCTCAAAGCTTATCCCAGGAATTTAAAGATACAACAGGAATCTCTTTACATCAGACAAAGAGAACTGCTTTTCTGATTTGCAATAAAATTCTGAATTGCAATTGCAAATGGCAGTTGGAGCTGAAGTTTCCCAGAGCTGCAGGCCTTTGCTTTAGGCAGAGGGAGAGAAGCAGAGCATTCATTGGATGGTACACAGTGCACTGTGCACGGTGACAAAAGACTCTGAGCCTGTCCCACACTTGAAAATATCTAGAGTTCACCCACTCTCAAACCTCCTGTTTTTAAGAGAGAAAGCATTACCTTGAACCAGCTTAGGCACATAGCTCTCTGCCACCTCAGGCCAAAGAAAGGCCTCAGTAAACCTTGGGTGAAAACTCCATTGACTCCCTCTCCAAATCCCATTTCATTGCTCTTGAAACTATCTTTCACACCGTAATCCGAGGCCAGAACTTACTCTAGTGAGTGCCCTTCCAAGAAACACTATTGTCAGGAGCCTTACCTGGCTTTCCCCACCCACCTGTCTGAGGAGCCAGATGGCCTTGTTGCGTCCAAGCTTCCTAGTGTGCTGGCTCAGCCCAGCCTCTATTTATGTACCAGAGCACTTCTCAATCCCACCCACTGATGTTGGATATACGTGTTGCAAACTCAGAAAGGAACTTTCCTTTTCCCAAGTGATTGCTTGTCTTTCCTGGACTAAAGAGTTCCTTGTTTTAAAAAATAACGTTGCTAAGGGTATGCTGTTTTAGTATGCATGTTTTTAACTGTTTGTGAAAGTATATTGTTAAAGGATTTGAAAAAGATGGGCAGAGTGCCAAATCCAGGTAAGCTTTAAAAGAAGACATTTGATTTGCCTGAAGGCTGATTTGTCTTTATGTGATTGGATGGAGTGTGTGGTTTGCAGATTTTTTTCTCCCCCCTTGGGCAGACTGCCTTTACTTAGTTAAAAAGCACCCAAGAAATAATTCACAACTCTAACCCCTGCAGGCATAGAAACTGTTGTCCTCTGCTGTGGTACAAATTATTTTCCATGATATAAGCCTTTCTTCCTGGCAAACAAAATATACATTCATTATAGATATGTGCAGCATGCAAATCAAGCACTCACTAATATTTTGAAACTGAGGAAGTTATTGAAAAAAGATGCCCTGACACTATGAGTTTTTAATAATTGCCTTCCAGTTGACTATGTGCAGCAACATCCCTACAAAGTTGAAAGATGATTTCAGTTACTCTCATGCATTTAATGGTGAACTTCCAGCCACGCAGGGAGTGATTTTGCACCATTTCTCAGACTTACAAACTGAGGTCTGCAACCACTTTTTTTTTCTTCAATCAAGATTATACAATTATTCACTAAAGATATTAAGTCTGCATTCAGATTTTCTGTTAAAAAAAAGATCACTCTTGTGTTTGTTCATGGAGCTATGTGCAATTCTTAAAAGTTCAGAATGCAGAAATATTTAAAAACATAAATTAACTAATGGGATGCAAGCCCTATCTATAAAAATTACTTTTAAAAATGAATTAAGTTCATACTATTTCAAATCATTTTTTAAGTATCTATGTTTTTTGATAGAGATAATTTCTGTGGGCAAAACAGTAAGTAATTTCCAAAATACTGAATTTTCTTTCAATTCTAAATGAGTTTACAGAGACAATTTCTTTAGGAGTTTGGAAACCATGACATAAGATAAATTTTTAAGACTGGGCATTTATATAGACCTTTAGTCTATTTAACCCTTAGAATATTTAATTCAACCTCCTCATTTTGCAGATGAAAAAAAAACCAAAGATGTTTAAAAAATGAATAACTCTGAAGGTCCCACAACTGGTTCAGGGTGCTGTTCGGGTGTCCTGCCGTCCAGCTCCCACTGAAAGTCGAAAGTCAGCAGGATTCGGGGACAGGAGATTCTACTCCGAGTCCTGCGCCTGCTGCTTGCTCAGTGGATGATCGCAGAGACAGTGTTTGATACCTTTGAAATGTCAGTTTGCCTATCTATAAAATGGGGAAAATATTACCATACTTGATTGTTTTGAGTATTAAATTAGATTTTAATGAATTAAGATATGAGAAGGTACTTGGTATATTAATTAGTGTGGTAGGTCTTCTGTAACAAAGTGCCACAGACTGAATAGACACAGGAATTTATTTTCTCACAATCCTGGAAGATAGAAGTTTGAGGTTAAGGTGTCTGCAAGTTTGATTTCTTCTGAGGCCTCTCTCCTTCGCTTCTGTTGAACAGGTGCCATCTTCTCTCTCTGTCCTCACACTGTCTTCCTCTGCCCTTACCTGTGTCCAGATTTCCCCCTATGAGGATACCAGTCTTCTTGGATTCGGCCCCATCCTAATGCTTTATTTTAACTTAATTACCTCTTTAAAGATTCTTATCTCCAAATACAGTCATATCCAATGATACTGAAGGTTAGCATTTCAGAATGTGAGTTTTGGAGGGATACAACTTAACCTATAGCACTTGGTAATTAAAAACATCTTGGGCCTATTATAATTAGCTATAATTAGTTATAATTTTCTACTCTATCTCTGTACCTACTCCCAGGTTAGTAAAAACCCAGTATTTGTCTTAGTGGCTCAAGTATGGCAGGGAGGGAGGAATAATTAGAATATACCCTCCATGTTCTATGGTGACCGTGGCATCCTTGATGTCTGCAACTGTTTCGGTGTGAAACAATTAGGGTTTTGTAGATGGTAAAAGTTTCTCCTGTATTTTATTAAACATCACTATTTTTAACCGTGATGTCATAGGATCAGTCTTTGGGATTTGCCTGCTGTTGTAAAAATCTGTCTTTATTAAATAGCTATTTTTGATGATTTTTCCTACTGAGTAGGATTTGAAAATCTGACATATAAAATAATATTTGATAGTGAAACTAAGCATAGTACTCACAACCCTGAGTAGCCTAATTAAGTGGATGCTATGTCTTTGTGTTTTCTGTATTTGTGTCACTGTCATTTTAGAGGCTTTTATTCAAGCACATTTTAAAGTAGATTTTCTTTATTTGAATAAAGTTTAAAGATTTATAGTCATAAGAACTTGCAAATATTACTAAATACGTTTTTTTACTCATTCTTTTTCTTTTTTTTTTTTACTAACTATCCATTGAACCTTTCTGTGTAGCAAATATTACCCCAGGCATTAAAGATACAACAGTCAGTCACTGAGGTAGCCAGACACATACAGAGATAATTTCAGTTCAAGGGATAAGCCATACCTTGGAAAAATACAAAGGAGTTGAAGTCCTTGTTCCTGCCCTGGGGCTACTTACAGCCTGATAGAAGAATTAAGATACAACCACACTAAAAAACTAACCATTCACATGAGGAGAACATGCCTAGGAGTCAGGTAAGTGGTATAGACATCAGCTGCTATTATTTTTCAGAGGAACCGGAAACAGACATCCACTAGAATGCTCAAACTGGTAGTAGAAGGTAAGATTTTCAGATGGAGACAGTGATTTAGAATTTGCAAAACATTTTTGTTGGATATTTAGTGGAATTGGCTTAGCTGCAGTGAGAACCACCTGGGTAATTTATAAATATGATGGGAAAAGCATTTGGAGGGGGAGTTTTGCCTGGGGCCTTGAATGCCATTCTAAATTTCAACTTCAGTCTCAAGGAAGTGTTGTTTGTGGTTAAGACGACGAGGTATAGATTCCAACTGGTTGAAATTTACATCTAGGTTTACAACTTTTCCATACTCTCCTAACCTCTTACACTTCCTCGCTATGCTGGTGTTGTCTCACTTGTAAAGTGGGGATAGCTAAGGCCTACTGTGTAGGATTTGTGGAAGATTATATAAGATAATAGAGGTGGAGTGCTTAGACTGGTACATAGCACTAAAAAATATTAGTTATTATTACAGAATGTGTCATTTGCCTCTCTGTCAAATTGGTCTCAGTCCGTTAATTATCTAATATTAAGTCTGTCAACTCCAGGACAACAGAATCATTGATTCCTCTTTGTATATAGCCTATTGTAAGACTTAACTTGTCAACACATATTCTTGAAAAAAATTAATTTGTCATCATAACAACCTCCAAAGACATCATTATTTTCTTTTAAAAATAATGAGATAAACTCAAATGGTTGGGCATTACTGGCCCAGAAACACAAAACTGTTGAGAGTAGAGAGAGGATCTGAAGTCTCCCATAATTGCTGATAATTAATTTAGTATCCCTTCCAGTCTCCCAAGCTGCACTCTGATGTTACAAAGTAAAGACATAAACCTGTAAGCAAATGTTAACCTCACAAAAATGAGTAATGATGAGCATTATGAAGGGGAAAATGAGAATAGCTCCTAAGTACTCAAGGACCTTGCCCCTAAAAGAGCTCTTTCAAAAGCAAACCATCAAAGTACTTAAAACTCAACATCAAAAAAAAATTAAAATTAATAAATGGACAAGGGACCTGAGTAGACACTTCTCCAAAGAGATCATACTAATGGCCCATAGACATATGAAAAGTTGCTCAATGTCAGTAATCTTCACAGAAATGCAAATTAAAGTCATGATGAGATAACATCTCACACCTGTCAGAATGGCTATCATCAATAAATCAACAAACAAGTGCTGGTAAGGACAAAGAGAAAGGGGAACGCTTTGCACTGTTGATGGGAATGCAGACTGGTGCAGCCACTGTGGAAGGCAGTGTGGAGATACCTCAAAAAATTAAAAATGGATCTGCCCTTTGTCTCAGTGATCCTACTTCTGGGAATATATCCAAAGAAGCCCAAAAGACTAATTAAAAAGAACATAAGCACCCTATGTTCATTGCAGTATTATTTACAATTGCCAAGATATGGAAGTGTCCATAAGTAGACGAGTGGATAAAACACTATGGGACATTTACACAATGGAATTTTACTTGGCCGTGAAAAAGAAGAAAATTTTATCCTTTGCAGCAGTTTGGAGGGACCTGGAGAACATTATGCTAAGGGAAATAAGTCAGTCAGAGAAAGACAAATATCACACGATTTCACGCATATGTGGAATCCAATGAACAAACTGAGCTAACAAGCAAGACAGGCAGACGTGTAGATGGAGACCAGATGACAGCGAGAGGGGCAGGTGCTGGTTAGCGGGCAGAGGGATTGAGCCAAAAGGAAAAAGGATTCAAGGACATGGACAACAGTGTGGTGACTGTTGCGGGGAAGAAGGTATAAGGGAACTAAATGGTAATGGAAAAAATGCAATAAAAATTAAATTAAAAAATCAAAACAAAACAAAACAAAATTAAAAAAATGCTATCAGCCCTTCATATCTGGAGGTTCTATATCTGTGGATTCAACCAACCACAGATGGAAAATATTTGAAAAAAAGGGTTACATTTACATTGTTGTCGATATGTAATATGTAGTAAGACCCATGATAGTTGCATCTGTACTAAACACGTAAACGGTTTTTGTTTTGTCATTGTTCACTAAACAGTACAACTATTTACATAGCGTTTACATTGTATTAGGTATTATACATAATCCAGAGATGACTTAAAGTACATGGGAGGATACACATAGGTTATATGTAAATACTACACCATTTT